ATGAAAACATGAAAAGAATACACTTTAGCCCGTGTGTTCAGGTGCATTACAGCGCAACAACAAAAGTTGCAATAAATATAGCGGCAACAAATGCAGCAAAAAACGGTGAAAATGCACTGAACAAAACTACAACAACAATAGAAAAATGCAGAAAAATATCACACGCTCCGCACCAAGCGAGACTGGAGCGCGGTGCGGCTTGGCGAGCGGTGGTCCGGAGGTCGGAGTGAGCGCAGCAGGTGTTGCGTTGGCAGTTGGGCGGTCGAGACGCGCGACGACATTGAAATTTTTATGCATTCGCATCTTTGTCGCCCTCTAATTTGTATGGGTTTCTTTTTGCACTTCTTCAATCCACTGCACTGCTGCTCTCCACCGTTTTTCGGTTTGTCTTCAACTTTTTTTATTTTTCAAATTTTTTGTTTCATTTTGTTTCATTATAATTTCGCGAGACATGCGCAAGAAAAAAAAAAAAAATAAATAAAAATAAAGCACAAAAGAAAATAAATAAAAAATAACAAAAAACATACTCGCAACCACAAAAAAACTGAAATAAATTGCGAAAAATAAAAATTAATCTGACAAAAATGTCATGGAAGCAAACAAAAAATGCACGCAACAAACAAAATTGCTTCCCGAAAAATTATTCATAATGACAGCGGCAGACAGGACCTGCTGGGCAGAGTACCATAGTCGTTGGCAGTGTTGGTGAAGTGCAACAGAGTGCAAGTAGCGGGCATGCAATCAAGGTGGAACAAGCACATAAACACACAGAATTGTAGCGGTGGCATTTTCGGTGGCGTAGATAATGACAAATACATACGTAGCTGCTGCAGTAGAATGGAAATGTAGAAAAAAAAAAATGTTGCAAGTTGTTAGCATGAGGTAATTTACTGCAGCAGTCAACTGCGTATTACTGCAACCTTTTTGTTTTTTGGAAGCTTCACCCTCTGGAGGCAAAAACTCGTCTCCAAAACGTGACATTTATGCGCTTTTGCACAGAGTTGAGTGACCTATGCTCGAGAAATTTAAAAACCGCATGAAGATAAGGTTCTCCCCCTATAAGTAGGGGGACTTCTGCATTCTGACATACTAATTATTGCTTTTCAGTATTATTATTATTATTATTTCATTTTTGTATTTTGATTGTTTTACTTTATTTTTTAAATATTCAGAGACTACATTAATTTGCCTACAAATTGAATTCTTTCAGCTTCTCACGCTTCAAATTTAATAGTCAAAAAACCCCTTTAAAATCTACCTATTCACCATTAATCTTTATTAGCCGAAAAATCTCAAAATCTCTTTAATAGGTATACTATCATGAAAAGAATTATCATCGGCATATCCTTGACAGTTTCAGAAAGTATATCGAGCAATAAACGCATACAAATGAAAGCTTAAAAAATATTTGTAGCATTACAGTGAAAATGTACGCGCTCATCTAACGATTCTTCGCAATCTGACACACAAAGCTTAACCTCTAAGTATCCAACGCCGAATTCTGTTCATTTGCTTTTTGATATAAAACAAGTAAAGATTGACATCAAATGGTGGTAGGTTAGAACGTAACTTTGAAAAATACCGACTTCCTCTCCAACCAAGTTTGTTCATTTTTTTTTTCAGTGTCTTCATATTGCGCTGCAATTTCGTTCGTTTTGGCTAAATAGAAAGTGATGTAATTCTGAGACGAATCTTCTAACTGAGAGCGCTTTGGTGACTTTTAACATTTTTTCAAAATTATCATTAGACCAAAAATAACCGAGATTCTGCTTATATGCGCGGACAGCTTTAAAAAAGAGTTATAAACTGATGGACCTTGTTGGAAGCCTTTTCACGTTAAAGAGTTTGTAGAAATTTTAGTGTATGTCTTGTCGAGACGCGATCGTTATAAGGAGAAACTTTTTTATAATTTGAGATTATGCTTACTTACTCTAGGGTTTCAGCTCATCGATGGCAAGCATTGACTGTAATTCAATGCGCGGCTTAATTTATTTGAACTTTTTCCATTATTATTGTACCACTCATACCTCCGATAAATTTCTAAAATGGCTCTTTAGCGGCTATAGTTATATTTTAGAGCAAGCTAAAGAAGTCGATCTTACTATGGGGAGTTATATCTTCTGAAAGCTTGTCTAGAGTAGAGATCTTGATATATGTATATTGCTTGTTTTCAAATAAGACCGCGCTGGTTGTTTAGTTAGGTTTTCAATACTTTCTTAGAACATCTGGTTGATTCAAAAACCCTAAGCACTTAAATCTTTCTTCGTCATTTTCAATACTCTCTTGAAATATCTAGTTGACTTAAAAATTATATGCATTTTACATTTTTATTGGTTCTTCTTCAAGATTCTTAGCTAAAGTACGATTTATTATCGATAGTTTTTAATATAATTAGAGTAAAGTGTGCTTTTAATATAACCTCAAAAACTTGTTTCCTGAATTATTGGTGTTCGAAATTAGTTTCATTGTGGTGTGAATAGAATATACCGAAATTAAAAGTTGTTTATCGTTCCCTTATCTCTATTTAATAATAAGTATATTTAATAGCATATTCATAAGTTTCCACAGAGCTTTTGCTTTTTACACTCAAAATTCCAATATTCTTATCCCATCAAGAACAAGGCGGCAAAGGACACTTTCCAAAACCTTTGTTTAATTCTGACAGTCCGTAGCCGAATAAAAGTCTGTTTTCATTAAGGTTACAAGAATCTCACTATCGTCAGAATGTTCTATAGATATATTTTAAAATGTTGATTTTTATATATCCGTTGTTCTCGTTGGTGCACCTGTTAGTTCGGTGTTTCTTCTAAATGCCATCAGAAGAAATACCGTTTTCTGTTTCTTTATTATGAATTCGTGAGACCTTTAAGCTTTTATTCAGCTGCTTTGAACTGCTTTGATGGACTTTGTTTTTTGGTTGCGCTACTAATTGTTTCTCCACCTTGCGATAAATATTTATGTATACATGATACCCAACCCGTTATGGCTAGATTCTCGTTTGGGATTATTAGAGGTTAGGTTTGGTTCAATTTTAATTTTTTTGTTTTTCGTTTTCGAATATACATACATATCTACGCATAATTATTTTGCTCAGGTGCAAGCTCTTTTTAAACCGTAAAGCGCTGTTTTAAGAGCGTCTCATTGAAGAAATAAGAAATTCGTTTGCATATGTGGCCTGGTACACATGTAGTCGCATTGTCAACAAATGGATTCTGAAAATTTTTTACACTTTCTTTTAAAGGTTTTTCGCACTTCACAAAAGCAAGAAATGAAAAAAAACAGGAAAATATAGGAAAAGGAGAAACGTCTAAATATTTTCAGCCACGATTTTGTGCTTAGCGACTTGCCGACACTGAAATTAATGCATATTTCATACAGCCGCCTACAGACGAGCAACAACAATAAACAAACCCAAAAGCGAAATAAGTGGAAAAAGAAGCAAAATGAATCAAAACGAAACTGTGGCAAGTACAGCATAGCAATGGCTTTGCTGCAGACGCACAACAACAAAGCGAACAACAACAACACCAACGATTAAAGAAGTGCAGACAAGGACTCACGGCGCTAGTCGGGACCAATGCATTCACACACCGTATATACATAACAGAAATCGCACCTGGTGCTTACGGGAAGGCGGGGAGCCGCGGCAAGGTGAAATAAATTGAGCACAATTGCGCTGGCAACATTGCGCGCGTTCGCGACAGCCACCAGAGGATCAAGGTGTGATTTCACAAAAAACCAAAAACAACAAAAAATGAGAATAAACAAAAACAATAACACGAAATCGTCTACAATAAAGCAAAAATGTATGTATATATGTGTGTTGGTAAGTGACGAAGAGAAAACGCTGCGCACCAAAAGCGATGAGCTGGTGCATAACTGCCGAAAAAATGATGGCAGGCCACCACTAGACAGGTGTAGGAGCGCTGAAAGCGCCGTCGCGACATTTTGAAAGTGAAGCTCCTCTCTATTGTATGTGTGGGTGTTGGTGGGTATTGGTGTGAGTGTAGCAAATATGGTGAATTGGAGTGTTGATAAACATTCAAGTGCAGTGCTGTTGAGCTGTGAGAATGGCAAGCGGAGTCCCATACACACATAAATAATTTTTCGTGTGTGTTCACTTGTGTGTACTTATGCATACATTCATAGGTGCGAACTCTGATAGCAACAATAATAGCGCTTGCAGACAGGTATGATGCACTGCATTCATAACAAACACACACACATAAATACATACTATGTAGTTCGTGTGTGCGTGTTGCTACGCTAGTTGCACTTCGGAAGTGTTTGTATTGTAAACAACATCCGCTATGTGTGAAAGTGGTATTAAAAATGGGAGTTAAGCATTTAAACAAATTGAAATGCAACACTGCTAACGGAATACGAAAAAGGCAAGGGTAGTAGGTACAAACAAAAAGAATGCTAAATAATAGTAATAAAAAACAGGAAGGAACGTTTACCTCGACTGCACCGAAGCAGTGCTTCATAAGTGATCGTTCAGTTTGTATGGCAGCTATATGCTATAGTGGTCCTAACTGAACAATATGTTTGGAGTTTGTGGCGTGGCTGTGGACTAAAACCCATGCTCAATTTCATGGAGATATCTTGTCAAATGAAAAAGTTTTCTATACAAGATCTTGATTCCGATCGTTCAGTTTGTATGGCAGCTATGTGCTATAGTGGTCCGACATCTGTCATCTAGACAAATAAGTGACTTTTTTATGAGAAAAGGACGGGTGCAAAATTTCGGATTCATATCTCGAAAACTGTAAGACTAGTTGGTATATATGTAATGTATATTCCGTGTGCTTCAACACCATCTAAGAACAATCAGAAGAAAAAAGTGAAAAATTAATATCGATCATGAAAATATTCTACAGAAAATTTCTCAACCCATTTCAAATCGAGCTATCTGATAATCTAGAAATCGCACCCAAAAAGTGGCATCAGCAAACGGTTCCTAAAAATGTTGTAATACTTTCCATAAAAAAAAAACTTACCGCACTGACTTCAAATCGCCGCTAATAGATGAGTTTGGCGATGGTTTCGAACTAAGATCTAAGGGTTGTTCACCGGTGGCATCACTGGGACTGGGCGAATCCTTGAGTGGTGGACTAACAGCGGCGGCCGATGTCTCTGAGGTAGTTGGTGTCGCCGAACTTATATGCTGTTGCTGTTGTTGTTGCTGCTGCTGATGCTGTTGTTGTGGCTGTGGTTGCAGTTGTATCGGTGCGGGATGTGGCTGTTGCTCTTGCTGTTGCTGTTGTTGCATTAATTGTAGCCAATTAAAATCTAGATTTATCATTTGGAAAAATCCAAAAAAAAAAATAAAATAAAATTTATATTCGACTGCATTGTAATGCTAAGTGGCATCTGCTTATGCCGCGTTCACACTCACTTGGGTAACCAGAAATGACTGCTAACTGCGCGGCCATTGAGTCCATTGAAGTCATATTCGCTGGCAAATCAACTAAACGTGTCGTCAACAGCTTGTTCCAGTCGATGCGATTGTTGTTATTATTATTATTGTTGTTGTTAATGTTATTCGTACTATTACTGTTGTTATTGTTGTTGTTTACAACAGGCGCAGTTGTTGTACTATTCACCAAATTCGCATGCGCTGATTCATTCGAATCGCTATCGGTCTCAAGCTGCTTTGTTGTTGTGTTTCGTTTATTTTCGATACGAATTGAGAGAAAAAGCACAAAAATTGCGTATAACAGTAAAAAATGTGTATATAAATTTTCTTTGTTAAACTAATATTACTTAAATTTATTTTTATTTTTATAAAACTTCTCTGCGGTGTGCTTCCCAGTTCGTGTACTTTGGTTTACGAATTTGATAATCGTTTGCAGAAATGCGGGTTTGAGGTAATTCCGCATGATAGAAGTCACCAATACGTATAACGGCATAAGTTCACCGCAAATAAGTTCATCACTCTTTGTTCAAAAATTATTATTTTTAGGTTCATGAGTCATTAAAACTAGAATTGGTTGGGTTTAACGAAAACTTCGTTGGGGCTATGGTGTCATGCGCGAAAATATATAATTAATATGTGTGTCCAATAAAACTTAACTTTAAAAATGATTTTTAGTGAAAATAGTTGCAGTTGTTTTGATCATTTCTTATTTCTACTTGGATAAAACTCTCATACTGCAAACCTCCAGCCTGTAGGCAAATTCTCGGTACAACCTGGGAGCTCTCTTCCTCTCTCATGCAGTGATGTTACACAGCTATTGTTAGGCCAATTCTGCTCTACGTTGCACTAGTATGGTGCACAGACGTACGAAAATATACGTAACAGAAGCCAATGGAAAGGGTTCAGAGGCTCGCAAGTCAGTAACCTTGTATCGCATATCGGTCAGAAGTGTTTTGGCAAGCAGGGCAGCAGTGGAAAGTGTTGCCAGAAGGGGTGCTAGATTGCAAAGGCATCGAGGGCAATGAAATAATGGACGAGCTTGCTAAGATTGCCCGAAGACCGAAAACGTGATCAAGATTATGACACCGACGGTCTGGACAGAACCATAGTAAATAAAATCAAAACCCGATAGAACGAACTATTGGCACTCGATAGAAGAGACTTTAGGCACTTGATGGGAATACTAACTTTTCTCTGTCTGTGGCCAACACCCGCATGCAGGACGGGGCTGACAGATCGAGAATACTGTAGGAAGTGTCTAGAGCAGGGCTTTTGGGATACAATGGAACATCTTGTGTCCCGCATTTGTAAGACTACGATGTCAGCATCTGAGCATCCGCAGTATGATACCTGTCTCTTATACACATCTAGATGTGTATAAGAGACAGGTCTAGAGCAGGGCTTTTGGGATACAATGGAACATCTTGTGTCCCGCATTTGTAAGACTACGATGTCAGCATCTGAGCATCCGCAGTATGATACTCTGGAGGAGGAGGAGGTACCTAAACGATGACTACTCCTCTTGGTACTCCAATTGGTATCGCAAAAGACAAAACTGGTGTATGCGTGGCTTATTGGCCAACCAGATTGACATAACCTAACCTAACCTAAATTCTGGTTCAAGTTTATGTCACAATCTGGTCCAGTTCGTAACTACAACATAAAGTTTTTAAAATGTATTAGAGACGACGGCTTCGAATTCAATAGGACTTAGCATTAGACCTTAACTTAGTAGTCTACACGCTCTTAACTAACGATTAGAGTATAGTATTGCGCAGTATCGGGTACATGTGGAGATCGAATTTTTATTTAATGTATTGGAAGCATCTATATTAGAGCTGTTGGTCATTCGATATCAAAGAATATTTTCTCGAGATTCATAATCTTAAAACCATATTTTTTCGAATCTCCATTTGAAATGTTATAAACCGCTCGTTACGCAAAATGATTTGAGAAAATATTTTCTTTTTATCCAAATTTGGATTTAGGGATACTGTTTGCCGCAAATTGCATCGGATTTCTTGTAAGATCCTTCATATAAACCATCACTTTTCATACTAAATTCTGGAGAGCTTTCTTTGTAATCAGTAGCATGCTTACTGAATTGAGGTTACGCTTAGCTATAATGCGCTTTAAGAAGTGAAAATATTTCGATCTTATAAATCTATTTCTATCCACCGAAGTAATATTGCCGAAAACAATGAAAAATATGTACATATGAAACACTAACCCTGTGAACGTGTTCCACTGAATCGCCGCCGACGGCGGACACAATGGGGCCCGCCGGCTCGGCTACTAGTTCTCCCTTCGCGTTCACCGTGAGTAATCTACCGTCCACACAAAAATAACACTTCTCATTCGGCTTCCAATCGACCGGTTCAATGGTGGGCGTACGCTGCCCCTCAAACGCTTCAGTGGCACGCTGCGGTGGATGCGTTGACGGTGGTGATGTAGTTAGACTTGACAAACTATTCTGATTGGCGTTAACGCTTGTGATGTTTGTTGTTGTTGTGTTTGTGTGTGATGAATTCGTTACTTTTATTGATGTATTATTGTTGTTGTTGTTGTTGCCGTTGTGGTTGCCACAATTTGTCTTATTATTTAATGTTATACTATTACTGTTATTACGGTGAAGTTGGTTGTGATTATGTGATGTTGTTGTATTGTCTAAAAACAAAGATAGAAAAGTCAAATATGCAAAGCAAAATAATATTATGGTATGGATTATAGTAAGTAGAAGATATTTTTTGGAAAAAAAAAAGAGTTTTTACATTCCTCTTAATCAAGCAAGTGCGTAATTTCGCTAAAACCAGTCATGCGCCTGAATGTAGCCAACATTTTATTTTTAGTGCTCAATTACTCTTACGCCAACGGTAATATATGCATAAGGCTTTCTGATCTGGCGGAGAGTATATTTTCGATATATTTTCTGAAATCATATATTCTTTAATTTTCAGAAACACATCAACAAAAAGTTCGAATACAGCGTTATAAACTTTGAAATTGCTTTAAATAAAACTAAAAAAAGAAATATAAACACCCTCATCTTGATTTTGATCTTCCACTTTCACGACAACTATATGCTATTTTGGTTGGCTCAAAACAATATGTTCACAAAGCAAAGCCTTATTTTGGAAAATAGTCCATGGCAAATTTCGTGAAATTATATGTTTAAATTTTTTGCTTACAAAACAAAAAAAAAAAGTTGACGAAAAATAAAATCGATAATTTTTTTTATCGAAAAATAAAATCGATAATTTTTTTTATCGAAAAATAAAATCGATAATTTTATCGAAAATTTAAATCAGTTCTCTTCCAAAGATATATACTTCTTCAGGAAATCGTAAAAACTTGTAACAAAAATTCTTTCTAATTTTGACCGATCAGTTTGTATGGCAGCTACCTATAATGGGCCAATAAGCGCACATATAAGTAGTATTTTTTTGGAAAGTATATTATTCAATTATTTATTGAAATTTCGTTTAATATCTCGACAGCTGAGGGACGAGTTCGCATATATACATATATTTTTACGCTCACCTGTAACAGCTTGCACCTCCCGATCCTGCTTACACTTTTTGGAGTCTTCTACGCAGTTGCTTTGTTGCGTATTTCCTTTGTTTTGTTGCTGTTCTTCGGCGTTCGTTCCGCCTCCGAGTGTGCGCTCGTGTGTCTGCTCGTATTGCAGATTGTGTTGGCTGTTGTTGTTGTCTGTTGCAGTGCCGTTGCTCTGGCCGTATGTTGGTGATGATGATGATGACGGCGCACTCGTGGTGTCTGCGAGATCGTTGATCGATTTTTGTTGCTGAAAATGTGTAATCTTCTGCTCCTCTACAGGCTGATCGTTGTGTTTTTGTTGTTGTTGATCGTACTCTGTGGATGTTTGCCGTTCTACTGGGATTTGTGGGGCTACTGAGGTCGCTGCTGTACTGGCGGCAGCTGTTGCTGCTGGCAATTCTGCTGTTGCTGCTGTTTCGGCTGGCGATTGTACGGTGTGATTGTTTGTATGGACGCGCGTAGTTAATGGCTCTTGGTATTGCTTCCATTTCATGCGTTCCATCAACTCCTCAGCGATCCGTTCTAAGCCTATGGTTGAAGGGAAGGAAATTCATAAAACATTCATTAAAATCGATTACTTTCTGCAGAATTAACTACTTAAAGTGCTAATTAAAAGTTGTACGAGCAACAAAAAAAAAAAAAAAAGTGTAAACTAATGGAATAAGGTAGCAATTCTTCATAGTAATTGATGTCATTAACATGGCTGGTGGGGAGTATTAAAATATCATGTTATATATATATAATATATGTGTGTATGCTTATGGTTATCATATATGCAGATAGAATGCAATTTGGCTATGTATTATTCACTAGCAGTTTGAGTGCCACGCCTCTAACTGAAACTTTGCTACACCCAATACGTCCACGTAGGTAAAGACGCATATTTTTTGCACTCTAAAAAATCGAATTCGTTGCGTCGCTTCTGCTTCATTCCCACTAAGCGTGTGACGTTCGCAATCTGCTCGCAAGCCCAAATAAAGTGCAAATTATTAAAGCCAAATAGAGCCACAGCTGTTGTACATATATATTTACTTATATATATCCGCTTGAGTATAACCTATATCTACCTCGTGAACCCTATCAAATATTCAGCAGCGAAATGCCCAACTATGAAAGCATGAAAACCAGTAATAATTTTCACAAACGACCGCCTTATGTCTGCATAGAAAATGGAAGTCATCGTGATGACTTTTTAAATTTCATTCATATATCTACATAGTATTAAACAAAGTAACACCTAAAATGATAATTGCTATATAACTAAGTCTATTCTCAAAGTCTTAGCCATATTATTATAGAAGAGAGTGTAATTTTGTAATATAGAGGGACCTGCGCGCCCTCCTACGATTTGTTATTGGCACCCATTTTTATAGAGATTTTGAAAAATGTAAATAACTAAATTTCTGCCTTCGTTGAGCGATGAAATATGCAAAATTGGTCTATTATTGTTGTTCACAAAGCAAGAAAAAAAATAAAGTCGATATAGTAAATACATCGCTTAAATGAAAAAAAAATCGATAATATTTTATCGAAAATTAAAATCAGTTTTCTATCACATATAGTTTCATATAACTCACTCATATATATACATATTTATTACTCATTCGTTGTTAATTTTTCAAAGTTAGTTCTTCAAGAAATCGTAAATACCTCCATCAAAATTTATACTTTTTATCGATAATATGCTGTGTTTCGGTTCCTTTAATTTTTTTTACAAACAAAACAAGAAAACAAATAAAGTCGAAATAGTAAATATATCGCTAAATTTTTATCGATAAATTAAATCGATACTTTTATGGAAAATTAAATCGGTTTTTTAACGCATGTTGTTTTATTTAACTGACGTAATATGTGTTTCATCTGTTGTTAGTTTTTCAAAAATAGATCTTCAATAAATCGTAAATACTTTTTCAACAATTATACTTTTTATTGATAATATTCTGCATTTCGATTCTATAAAATTTTTCCATAAAATTAAACTAATCGTTAATATAATATGCTCCAAAAGCAAATAAAAGTTGATATTATTATCATATCACATTAGCATATTTTATTTGATTTTGCAATCTGATGCGGTCGAAAACAATATTAATTATCGATAAATACTTTTGCAGTGATATCGATACACAAATACTAACATATTTTATTTTACGGTCTGACGCGGTCAAAGAAAATATTTATTATCGATAAATACTTTTTCTGTAATATCGATAAAAAATTATTATAAAAAATTATCTATAAATTAAAAAATGTCAACCCCTAGAAAGCGGTTACGATTATTGCAACGAAATTTGATATACACCGTCATTTGAATGAGCAATAAATGGAAAAATTATATCATGGTAAAGTCGATACATTTTCGAAATTCTTAAAACATATCATATTTTTTTTGAAAAAAAAATGTGTGTTTAAGTTGTTAATGCTGATTTTGTGGTTTACGAAAAAAAATATTATCGATAGTTAATCGGTGGGGTGAAATATCGATAGTTACAATCGATTTTTTTGGAATAAAATAAGAAAATTAGTAAAAATCAATATAAATAAAAAAATGCAGTATTTTTCATAATTAATGGATAAGAAGAAAAATATCGATAAATTTTTTCAACAGTTTGAAGATAAAATTGGAAAATTAATACTTAAAACATTAAAACTGTATCGAAGCTTTTCCTCGAAAACAAAACCATAATGCGCAAATAGTGATTTTAAACCGGAAGTGCTGTGATTACATCGCTTTAAATTATACGCTCTTGGTAAATTTTAAAATTAAAAACAAAAAAAAATTTTTTTTTCAAAAGGTAATATGTGCTTCGTTTATTAAAGGAAATTGCTTGGCATTCGTTAAAAAACCGTCTATATGTGTAAGAAATTCTCACTTTGACCATATTACAAGGATAAATTCACACGCACATCCTTCACCAGGCCGTAATTATTGCGAAATTCTTTCAAATTAAAAATATCGTAAAAACCGAAATGTAGGAAATGGCAGTGCGATTGCAAAATGGCTGCAATTTGATGCAAGTGCCAATCAAAACGACGACGCATAGCAAAAAACGAGCGCAAAAGTAAAAATTGGAAGCAAACGAAAATTATGCAGAATTAAAGAAAGCAAATAATATAGCTGAACGAAGCAGTGGTGAAGAGGTGAAGTGTGTAAGGGCGTGGCGGAGCAAAGAAATCCTCAAAATTCCATGCATGCGTGAGCAAAATTAAAACTTGCAACACACACATATATATGTATATATGTATAATGACTCGGCAGAGTGAGCCGCCTGTAAGGCAAGGTGGGTGGGGGAGAGTGCTACGCACACACTCAAAGGAAATTATATGAAATTTGCCATGCAAGTAAATTAAAAATTAAAAACTGCAGCGGCTAAGTTGCACTTGCCCCATGTGCAACGCTTACAACAGTCAAACCAAAGCGAAGCCAAAGCACAGTGTTGCATTCGATGGAAATAATAATAGGCGCCTTACATACGCATATGCTTGTGCTGCGAAAAAATATGAGTTACGCATGAGGCATATTGATGGAACGCACTGGCGCACACACACACAAGCGCACACCTAGCACGACTTACGCCAGACGCTTAGCGGCACCTTCACGCACAGAGAGGACGACAAGGGCGTTGCGGCTGGCGACGGCTTAAGGAGTCACAAGGTAAAAGCTTTTGTGGCAGGATTTCTACACTCGCACTTGTGCGCACTCAGCGGCAGACACAGCCGCGCGGGACCGGCGCGGCGGGAAGCGTCTAAGTCACTAACAGTCAAACAAGCAAGCAATGCATTCAGACTCCCAGCGCTCATGCTGACACGGGTGGAAGCAGCAGTGCAGTGGCTGGCTCAAGCGAAAGTTGCAAGAATGGTAGAATTTTTTCGTGCCACACAGGAAGTACAACTAACTAGTTGTGTTGGTAAGCGGAGCGACAACGTCAGCACTGCCGCACCTGGCATATAAACTACCGCCTAGCAAACGTCGTATCGCCCCTTCGTCGCGTACGGCGGCAACCTGCCACAGCTATGCGTGTCGAGCGTGCGTGCACTTTTGGCCACGAAAAAAAGGGAGCAAACCGGGTTGGCAGTGGTGGCGGAATGGTGGCGCATAATGGCGCCATGTTGCACATTGCAAGAGTGGTAAGGGTGGTGCATTGCGCAGTTGCTCGTTGCACGTTTGGCATTTAGCGCACTGTTGCCTTTCATTCCGGAACAAGTTGAACGTGCGAGCGGAAAAAGTTTCGAATAAAAATTAAATATTTTGCTACGCACACTAGTGCACAGTCACATATACACACTCACATACAGGCATATATATAAATGCACACGGTAACCGTTAAGTAAACATGCACGCATTCACACACTAACACACACACACACACCCAAACTCAAATGCTGAAAAATGTAAATAAAAGGAGGAAACCCCTGCAACAAAAAACAAACAGCGCCTGCAACAGCCAGTGCAACTTGCAGCTGCCGCAACACACACGCATACATACATACAAAAGCAGTTGCGTAGCGTGAAATGCAATGCAGGCGGAAAGCTGGCGCAGCGAACGCAATGCATTTGCAATGGCAACTGGCAAATTCAGTTGCAACAGCAACAACAACAACTGCCACAGCGCTACCGCCAACCACCGAAACGCGAAAAATTCACCAGCATTTGTTCGGTTGACTCGCCCGGCCCGGCCTGGGCACTATTGCCGGGGTTAATGGCCGCCGGAGACTTTTTGAAACTCAAACTTCTCAAAAAAGCAACAAATTTTTTTGTATGGCAACGAAAAAATGGGGAAAAAGTGCATAGCAAAACTGGCTCACGCAAACATACGCATTGTGTGTATTGTAACACAAAAAAAAAAAAAAAAATTATGTTGTGTAAAAAGCCCTGCAACGGGGTTGTTTGTGGTGCAAGCCAACACTGCCTTATATCCACATTAGACACACGCATTATTAAAAAAAGAGAGAAAACAGCAGAATTAATAATGCCAGTGAAGTATGCCAATAAACATGTTGGAGAGTCTTAAGAAGCGCGTTGAGATCAATTTTCAGATACTTCCTTCTGCAGATACTGTGAGTTTAAGACAAAAAAATTTAGTTTTTCCATATTTCGGAGCTAAAGTTTTCGATTTTTCAAAGAGTCTTTAAGTTATAGCCACCTCAAGTGTACCCGGCCATTTCAAGCAGCTCTGTCAGTTAATTTTGATACTAAGAAAAATTTTCCGATTAGTACATTTTTAAAATATAGTACTATATTTAGTTTGTCAAGACAAATATGTCCAAAATTTTGCTTAAAATTCGTAGTTTTCAAAAAATTCAACCGTTTTGTCAATTTTAAATTTTTTCGATGCGACGTTAAGACTTACCTTCAGACATTCCACCGAACTGGCGGGAGTTGAAATTAAATTAACCTAACCTAATCCAGGTCTCATCGAGCGAGAAGACCATAATAACTGTGGTAGTGGAGGACCTTTGTTTAGCGTCATCGGCAATCTTGTGTAATAAAAAAATTATTTAATTTGTTTTCTCATGATTTTACTGTG